TTGTGCTGGTATCAAACACACCACATTTTCTGGCCAGAATACAATTGAAATATAAGTAAACAAGAGAATAAACAAACAAACAAATTCTCATTCATTTGGAAATTTAAAATAATGCTTTAAAATAACTCATCAGTCAAAGATAAAAACTAGAAATTAAAGCATTTTTAGAACTTAGTGATAATTACAATAATATACATTAAAACTTGTAAATTGCACCTTAGGTGGTACTTTGTGGGAATTTGATAGCTTTAAATACTCAGAATAGAAAATTAATGAGCTAAGTATCCTACTAAAGAAGTTAAAATAGGAGAATAAACCTAAGCATAGTCTCCCCCCCAAACATATTATGTCTGGAATACTGAATATATTCTTAATGCTATTTCAAGATACTTATTATAAAGAAAGCAACTAAATTAGGTACTTGAACAATATTAGTTGATCTTCTCTGAGTCCTTTGTTCTCAGCCTGTTATAAAGAATTCTACCTGAAGGATAGCTTAGGAATTTAACTTCTAAATGGACTCAAATGAAAAGTTTATAATCTTTAGTCATATTTTACAGTCATTAGGGTTGAACCTATTTATTGCATAGGAGATTTGATTTTTCAGTTAAAAACTTTTTCTTTTTTTCAGTAAACCTTTTCTTCCACTAAAACCTAACACACAAGTTCAGTATTTCTATAATTGATCAAGTGGGGCTGTTTGTGCTGTAATCCTGCACTCTGCTTCCTTGAACCTCCTTCTCTTCTGTCTGTGGTCCAAGGTACCTCCTGCGAAACTTGGGTTCTAGGGCACTCGGGTCAAGAACCATGAACATAACACACTTGTTATGCTATTTTATAGTTTGTATTTCAGGTTTTACCTACTTCACATGCTCTTGGCTCCAATAAACTTTATTTGTAGCTTCTGAAGCAGTTGGTTTATTTGAGATATGTTTTTACTTGGCTAATTGTTACATTAAATGTTTTTATTTCTAAAGGTATGTGACTTGATTAAGCTTTCTTAACATACTGTTTTTATTTAGATTGGATCAGTTCTTTTCCATTGATGACTCAGAGGATATGTCACAGGACTTTGGTCCACAAGCATTCCAGCTGTTATCTGCTGTGACCATCTTAGGAGAAAAGTTTGGAATTGGGGTTCCAATTTTATTTCTCCGAGGATCAGTAAGTACCTCTGAGAATCACCCTCAGAGTTCTTTTACTCCTATCACAGTTTTCTTCAGAGATTTGCTGTATTGTGATTGTAACTGGCTTTAGATGAGTTCTCAGAAACTCAGAGTCATATTAAGTTCCAGTTGAGCACTGCATTCGTTACTTTTGACAAATCTGTGTCACTAATACAATGCTTCCAGGCTATTTAGTTTATTACATTGCAGTTGGATGAATCCCTAGGCTGGTCTTTTGTAGGGTAATTAAGAAAAGTTAACTTTCATTGTGTCAAGGGACAGGTAGAAAAAGTTTTTATCTTTTGGTGCTCTGAAAAGTAGTAAATTTTTTGAGCAAAATTTTAATTTCAGTGATTATTTGTAAATAAGTTTAGTAACAGTATTTGGTAGTATACTGTTTTCTTTCTTTCTCTTTTGTTTCTTATCATAAGTATGTAAAACTCCAAGAAAGTTTTGTTTTGTTTTGTTTTGGTTTTGCTTTACCAATGAATAGTTAATTCAACTACTTTTTTTTCCTTTTGAGTGATTAGTGTGCCAGCATTATGCTAACAATTGCAGGTACAAATATGA